TTTTATTCTATTTTATTTTATGCTATATTATTTCAGTTCATTTCAAATCGTATCGATTTATTTCATTCAAGTTCACAACATTTTCCTTTCATTTCACACCATTTCCGCATTATCTGATTTTACGTCAGTTAATTTCATTTCATTCAATTCGATTCCTTTATGTCTCTTTTCATTTTATTGCTTTTTAATTTCATTTCAACTTATTTTATTTCGTTTCATTTCCTTAAATTGCACTCCACTTTTTTCCGTATCATTTAATTTTATTTAAATCCGTCTCATTTCAGTTCATTTTAATTCGTTTCATTCCCTTCCATTGCATTTCGTTTCATTGCACTTCCCAATATTTAATTAAAATTCAATTCCCTTCATTTCTCTTCATTTCATTTTTTCTATTTATAGCTCACACTTTCTTCTTTCCCTTTTCCAGCATCATTCACCTCTTTGAAGGCGGCATCTTAGACAAAATGACAAATGCCGAATATGCCACACAATCGCGCATGTTGGGCAAAGAATACAACAGCCTGCATCCCAGCTCGGCGGCCGATGCAAATGCTAACAATGAACCCCCGCGCAGCGATGATAACCGAAACGCTAATGCCGGCAACGACGTCAACGGCAAGGGAGATGAGAGTGCAGAAGCTGCCACCAAATCACAGGATTCACAAATCATACAACCGCTCAATTTGCGCATGTTGCAAGGAGCATTCATTGTGCTACTCTGTGGTTATGCAGCCGCAAGTGAGTGGCGTTTGTTTTTATTTTTTTTTTTTTGCATTTAATGGCGCTTTTTTTCTCGCAGTGTAAGAGCCCGCATATTTGTATCTTCTGCTAAACTTGTATTGTACAATTGCTTTGTTTTTTCTTCTTCTAAATTTCAGCTGGCATTCTAGTGTTGGAGCTATGTTGTCATCGCTTAAATTCGAACCTCTTGGAGCGTATTCAGGCCCGCTTGGTGCGCCGTTATCTTTGGTGTTGTCGGAAATTCCGTAAAATTATACGCCTGGTGTTTGCTAGAATATTTCGTTAATTAGCTTTTTTTCATGACTAACTTCTTATCATTTAGAAGTTTTGCATAACAAATGAAGTTTGTAGCAATTGCGGTAGCGCAATTAGTTGCTTTGGTGGAGTTGTTGTCACATTATTCTAATTCTATGAAGCTACTCGTACAATATTTACATAATTTATCGTGGAACCCGCATGCACGTGTAGCTGCTTAAAAGTGTCATCAGCTGCTAGAATAAACCCATCGTAATGCTTAACTGCGGCTTTGGAATCGCTGAAGTGTAATACAAATATGACGATTGGGCTGTGGCTCGAGAAAATTAAAGGGCATTGTTGAAAGAGCACAAAAACGTGTTGATTCTGTTTAGTATCTATACCAAAAACTGAATTGTATGTGAATGTATCTATTAAGTGCAATAATATATCTAAATATGTACATATATGTATCTACTGGGAGCAGATTATCAAAAAACTGAAGTTTTATTTTGGGGTTTAAAAAAATTTAACTTATTGAAAAAGTGGTTTAAAAAATTTATTGTGGCGTACTTATATACCAAAACCGCCCATAGGTAAGTTGCAAACCCGGCGCCCGCCATAGATCAGTTGCAAATCGCCGTTGTGGCAAAAATGAGATTTGGTAACCCTGAACTACAGGCATCGAGATTTATACATACAAATCGTAAAAAAAAATACCGCCTAAAAAGGCAATGCCTTCAAAGAAAACCCGGATTTTCGCTCTCTTGTAAAATTTGAGTATCGTATGTTAGGCGGGTTTGCAAAAACATTGACGATATATTTATGAGTACTAGAATCGCTCAGCTGTCGAAATTCGACCAATTAACTTTTTTACATACTTTTTCATTTTGCTTGTCATCAATATGTTCACGATGTCTTTGAAGTCTATTAGCATTCCAAAATATATGTAAGGATCTCTGGCCCTCTGTTGTTAAATTGATTGATATACATCCTATTAAATAATGTAATAATTCTAAGCTAATATATAATTTTTTTTATCCAAACTAAAGAGTAACTTATGTACGTAAATTCGTTGAAAAATAAAATCATTTCCACAAGCGCCGGGTTAAATTAAAATGGAAAGCATCGTAGATACTGCAATATGTTACTAATAAGGGTTTTGATTTTGAAGCAAATCGGACAAGAGAAAATTGTTCCCAATTGATATACATATTCATATGTATGTATGTATGTATGCAGATACATATACGGAATGAGTTTTCATATTTACTGCCTGTATGAGGAATGCTGCTGGACGCACCCAACTGCGCCTACGCAAAACATTGAATGAAGGTAAACGTAATTATTTTTAGACCACAAGTAAGTAAGTAAACAAACAGCAACAAAAGAATGCAGTTTGTTCGAGACAATGAAATGCAAAAAAATCCAAATTGCAGAAAACAAAAATACGCAGAGAATTTCATACCTTATATAAAATGGACAGCATTGATAAAATTTGTAGAAAATAGAAAAAAAAACTTGCGTAGACGTGTCGTTGAGTCTTGCTTGCGAACAAAAACCTTCTTTACTTTTTCATCAGGTCCATTTTTTTCATATTAAATTCAATTTCAATTTTCATAAAATGTGAAGAAATTATGAAGAATTTCTGAGGTTCTTGCGATTATTTACTTTACCTCTTTACTTATGGGCCTTTAAGTATGCAACACACTATAATTGAACAACTCGTGTTTTTATTGACGCTTTCATTCGTATCTTTTTCATACCTAAATGCGCTTCTCAAACATCCTACGAAGTGATTTGCTTAAAGCACAAGTCTCCCGGTATAATTCCACCACACTGCTCGTATCTAAAGGTAATTTTTTGTGTATAATCCCAAAAAAGAAAAGATCTCTTTATAAAAATCAAACAATTATTGGCTTTGAATGTAATGAGAACTTATAGTTTATTTCCACCAAGCCTTCACTGCGGTTTATACCTATTGGAAAAAGGTGATTACAACCCGAAGGAGGTAGTTGCTCATATCAAGTTCAGGCAAAGGAATTGAAAAAATAAAAAATTGAGAAACAAACTTTGCCGATGTTGGAACTTATTTGAGTTCTTAACTGCAGTTAAGCCTTTTGTCGAAATAGGCTATAACATAGCTTATTAGTGAGTGACAGAAAACTTAAAGATCTTTTCTAAGAAGATACATTTCCGATTCAAAAAGTGAAATCAAGGCCAAGCTTAGGTTAGACTATCGTGACTGATAAGAGAAGGTCTCACATAGACAAATATAATGTCCATTACAAGATGCATTGCAACCCTGGTCTAAGAGGACGCCCTCCCTGGTTATCTCTCCAGCTCTCTCATTACCTTTCGCACCCATCTGTATTGCTAGTCTTCTTATAGTTTGTGTAGTATCTCTGCAGATTTCTTTGTTGCTAAGATCTTGGCTTGGTAGATACTAAAATGATCTGGTAACTATTATTTACAGTTCGGTGCAGTATACTGTAGCCCCTACTCATTCGTCCATTTTAGAATCATATGTGTAGATGTGCGTTGCCTTCACTTTCCACTCCACATATCTACGCTAACCGTCAACCTCTAGTGCAGCTTTTAAAATCAAGAGCAAACCGTGGGAAGGACCATGTTTGGTTTCTTAAGACCAGGTCTCATGAGAATTTTTTTTTTTAATTTTTGGTTAGAGAGGAACTGTTATTTGATTATGTTTTTGAACTGATTTGTAGCTTCTTAAATTATAAACTTAAATCAATTCTATATTCTCTATTTTAAAGTATTTTTATGAATGGCATAAAATATTTACAACCACATTGACGGCAGCATCTAAATCAAACCAAAAAACCAACAGCGTATAAACTGCACAATGATGGCGAAGGACGACGCTGATGCTAACGTTGAGATCGCAAATCCACTTAAACTGTCTTAAATCTCCATGCGCTGATCAGCGTGCTGGACAGACGCGGCAGACAGACAAACAGCATTCACTAGACAGCTGTGGATAACAACTCTTCGACTGTTTGGTTGAGCGGAGGTGCCAATGGATGGGTCGCATGCCAAAATCAAACAGATCAATGGTGGGTTAGGCTTTGCAGCAGAGTAGGATAGAATAGTGGTTTCATCAGGCAAAAGGGCGTGAGCGCGTAAGGGTGTGTGTGTGTGTGTATGTGCGTGAGTATGTAGGCTGCCGTGTAGGCTTGTTTGTTGAACTGTGCGTGCGCTCATTTGACGCTCCAAATGGTGCGAGTACTTCACTTTCCTACAGTCAACGGCAAGGCAATGCGGTCATCACTCGTCTTCGATTGACGTACAGACGACGATGCACTATCGGACGACTAAGTTTTACTTGTGATGTCCAGTAAATATTTATTTAAATGGTGCGTATTTATGTACGTGGCAAAGCTGCTCCTCAGTTTGGCCGACTGATATACGCGTAAATATCTTGGTATGTATGTATGTATGTATGCTTTGGAAACAAAAAGCATTGGCGTGTTTACTTTAATATTTATTTTACTTTAATTTCCTTTGTGTTTGTTTTGACTGCAAGCATGCATCTCGGCCACAATACCGAAAGCCATCAGGCCATGTGGTGGCGCACAGCAATCATCCTGCCGGTGTGATCCTCTTACCAGATGCTATCAATGATCGTTGCCGCGCTCAACGTACAGCCCAATGAATAGCCCAAAATGCTAGTAACTGAACTAAGACAGCGTTCTGAAGGGTAGTGTGGGAAGGAGGGCAAGAGGTGACGCAGCTTTACAACTGGTCACCCTTCCTTGCTCGCTACGTTATTTTGCCGCACCTTTACACACTTGTGGCACGTTATAGCCATAGCTGCAGCCTACGCTGACGTTCATGTTGCTCGCCGCTGATTGTATCGGTCGAATGTCGTTAAAGTCACTTGGCAATCGTTGCGGTTGACCGTGGCTCTGAAATCGAGCCGCATGCGCGTTTCACTTGAAGCTTGGATTTATTTGCTGTCTCAACGTATTTTGTTTCAATTTCTATAGGTTTTGCAGCTAGTCGTGTTGCACACTCGGTCACTTACTGGGCAGTTATTCAACGCTTTTAGCCCACTCTGCCTACGACACCCCACTACTCACTCACTACTTTTTATTTCATTCCATTCGTAGCAGATAATATTCGTGCTGAAAGTTCTTTATCGTCTTGTGTCGCATCGTAGACAGTTCAAATCTTAACAAGTTGTCGATTTCATGGTGTGACTTTTTCTATTTTAAGCATTCGTTTCGATGATTTTCGTCTGTCCAGATTTGTCTGTACAGGAACGAGTACAGTTCGCATTAAAATTTAATTCAATTATAAAACGCAGGGACTATTCTGCGGTCATGCAGGCAATTCTTTGGTTCAGAAAGGTGCACACATATTTGAGAATGAAGGTTCTATCCTGTGGAAATATAGTTTTCTAAACTTGCGGTTAACTAAGAACAGAGGCAAATCAATGGAGAGTTCCCTCTTCGCTCTAATAGTCATCCTCTAGCTGTCTACTAGCATTCCCAAAATTTCCAAAAGATTAGGAATACCACCAAGTGGGCTATTGCCTGCCTAAAAAAGCCACTTGTTGTCTCTGAGTCCTCACAATCAATACTCATTTATTTCAGAAGGAAGTTATTGATGGTAATGTTAACCAGTGTGGAACCCTCACGCCGCTGTCTTACCGTGTGCAGGCTGGTTCCCTGAGCTGACCGTATTTGTTCAGTAGACCAGAACATTTTGCGGTAGTCTATCGGCAATTGTCTCCAGTATTTATTCAGAGAGTTCGTTGGGCATCGAGTTCTCTTCTGATTTGACAAGAGTAGCGATAGTTAAGCTTTCTGTTTACAAGGAGGAAGCATCGAAATCCTATACTCGCCCGTGTGGGATTTAACCCGAACTAAACCTCCTGCTGTTCAAGTACCGAACCTCCGGTTCCACCTGGAAGTATTTCTTCGGGAGGCACTTTAAACACTTCGTTTGCAGGTTGAAATCCGTACCGAACCTGCTCTTCGGGTACACACATTTCAAAACCGAAGTGCCTTGGCGGTTGGTAAGGCTCCAGTACACGCCTACGCTTTGGTTGCTGAACTTCATGATTGGTTCCAATTCGCGGATACACTTCAGGTTGGTTTAATTACGGGTGGTACGCTATCTCTGTAGGCTCTTCAGTCGCTTTAGAATTGAAGTTAGTGTGTCGCCGGTTGATACCCATTCACTGGCTCCTTTCACCATATAGTCGACTACTGACTGTGACGTAAACACCTTTCCAACGGCTGGTCTTAATTGGTTCGGACGTCTTTCCTCCACGCCACTTCCGAAGTACGGGTCGTGCTCATGCTTTAATTTAAACAAATATAGGGCATAAAACAGCCGTGCCCGCTCAAGAAGTGGCTCAGATAAAAATCTACTTCGACATGCGTTCTTTTAAGCCAGGATACCAGATTTGATGCGCCGCGTTAGGTTCAAAACGACCCTTAGTCGTAC